ATGGGTTTGGTTTTTTTTCCTTCTTAGCATTTTAGGGGTGTTTAAAAGAGACTTTCACTCAAAACTGCAGGGTTCAGCAGAACCAAGGCGTAAACCAAACTATGTGAAATATTCAGATCTGTTAGTACAGAAACTTAATGATGTGTTGCAGCTTTCAGTTTATGTACCTGGGGCCACGCACAGATACAAAATACTAATTTTGAGGTTTTCTTCCTGCACATGCTCCATCTCAGATTGTCGTCATACTGTAAAGCTGAGGCACTTTTGGACTACTGTATTGTAATTGTTTTGCTGAAGAAATGACCTCCAAAGCACTTTAGTGTTGAGATGCTGAACTCGGCTCCAAAGCCTTTGTTCTAAATTGGCGGTAGTCTGAATTGGTCACATTCAGATTTAAAAAACAAACAAAACCCAACCAAAACAAAAAACAAACAAAAAAACCCCAACAACCAAACCAAAACCAAAAAAACAACCCCAAAACCACCACCTCAGTCCCCACCTCCCTTGCTCACAAAGAAACCAACCCCAAGTAGTGCCAGAATCTTGCTTCTGTAGAACAAAAAGTGTGTAATAAAAACGTGTTACCTCCGCAGTTGACGCAGGAGTTGGGGTCAGGCTAACCTGCTGCGGACACTTTGCTGCCCGCTTGGAAGGGACCAAGTTAGTAGAGATGCAGGTGGTAGTGAACTTGGGGGGGTCGATGGAAGAGGTCACGAGCAAACCTGGCTTCCGTGTGCTTTAGCAGGACTTCTTCCATCTATGGGTTATCCTCACCGCTCCGCTATGGAAGGGAGGCCTGTTCAGTCTGTCTCTTCTGGAACTGGGTTTTTGTTTGGGTTTTTTTTGTTGCCTTTTTTTTTAGCTTGTTGGTTGACCATGGCTGGCTGAAGGTGGTTGACTTTTCTGGAAGTTTTCTGGAATTTGGGTGAAAATTGGGAACTTATGGGAAGGAGCATGAGTTTGAATATCTACAAGCCTGCAAGGTGTGATCCTTTTTTGTCCAGTTCCTCGCCAGCCTCCTAAGATAACCCCCAAGCAGTGGGGATGTACCCTACAAGGAGGAGGCTGCCATGGGAATCCAGTGTTTCTACATGGAAGTAATTAAACATCTTGGTATAAATTAACTTGTTTATGGAGATTCTCACTTTATTAGCTCCCTGATTGTGGATGGGTTTCTTGGTTATGATAGGTGCATCTTTTGTCTTGTTGGTAAGGCCTTGAACAAAAATGAACATAGGTGATTTGGGGGAATGAGCAGCTGCTTACAGCCCAGGTATAAGGGAGGAGTCTCTTTATCCTTGTGGGGGATAAAAAGCCATTTGCTTGGTCTTCCATTCGTATGACGCATGTATCTGGAGGTCTTGGGCTTCTTACCAGACAAACTCATTTCCCATGCATGCGTTGGCTGTGGCTGCTACTTGCCTCTCCGCCAATGGACTGATGCATCCTTATCCTCACAAATTTTGGAGCTGGGGCTGGTGTAAGCGCTCGCTCCCTAGTGAAAAGGACTTCTGTAAGAGAAGCGAAGCTGCTAACTTGGCTACTGGATTCCTCTCTGTGATTTTCGTAAGACCAAGGGTCAGAGGCATGTGTCAGGGTTATAAGTTTATTTAGTTCCTGAAGCTCATGTCTGCCTCCCTGCTCATGTACATCCTCTGAACCTCGGCCAGGAGCTCTGGTCCCGGATGATGGTCCGTTGTTCACTGGGAGAAATTTTATGGCAGCTGTTGAAACTGCATTCAACTTGCTTTCAAATACAAGACTTTTTTTTGAGGAATAAAAGCGAAAACTTTGGCAAAAATGCTAACTGAAAATTACTCTCCTAATTGCATTCTGAATATTAATATTTCTTCCTATGAAAGACTTGTCTGAATTAAACATCAAGGATTTCTAAAATAATCGCAAGCTTTTAAAGCCACATGTGTCACAATTTCTTCAAAAACAAATTACCAACCTAAAATTAAACAGATCAAAGACTTTTACTTTATAGACGGTTACCTCGGAACAGCTGCACAATACAGGTGAACTGCGTGTATTTAAAATTTCACTGTAACAATACAGTGCATTTTCAGCAACCTGTGACCATTAACTATTCAAAAACATTTTCAATCTAATCTTTAAAATACAAATCTCTTACATGCAAATAGGATTTTTCTAAGATTTAACTGTTAATTTGAGAATTATAAACATTGTGTGCTGCTGCATTTTTTGAGTGTTTTTTAGAAGAAACGTGTTTTGATTCTTCAGGGATTTTTTTAAATCTTAGAAGGGAAGTAACTTACTGCTCATTTCCTTATCTTTTATTCTATTTATTTTCTAGTAGTTCTTCTCTGGTTAGAGTCTCTTTCGTTACCATACAAAAAATCATGTAAGTAACATTGCCTGTCAGTTTTACTGCTTTGCGACTACTGATGTGTTGCTGACCAGCAATGTTCTCCTAAATGCTCATCTTGCTTTGAATTTGATGGATACTCACCTGAACGCTTCTGGTACTGAGTAACTTGCATATGGATCAATATAAAGCATGTGTGGTCTTCTCTTAAACAGCTATTTCTGGGAAATAGAGAGATATGTGGAGTTCAAAAAAAAAACAACAAACACCACACTAAACTCTAGCTCGATGCAATTAGGAGCTGTGTTGTTTCAGAACATGCCTTGAAAGGAGGAAATTCAATAGGCAGCCATCTTACTTTCCAAAAATTTTAACTGTGAAAGATCAGCTTGAAGGTTTTTTGTTAACTTTGATCCTTCTTAAAATTGACCCGTTCATAATGTGTTTCAGTTTCTGGTGTATGCTTTTTTTCCTGGAATGAATCCTTGAAAACTACCCACTTTGAAGCATTTTTGTTTCTCCCCTTAAGAAATATTTCTGTTTTTCCTTTGCTATCTGATACGTGAAACTAATAAAACACTACAAGGGTGCTGCATGTACAAAGTACAACTTCACATTTGTGAGGCTATTGCCATCCTGTACGAATCTTTTTGCTGGACCTGCATGCATGATTGCAGAACACAAGTTTCGCTGCACATCCAGATTCTGCTCCCTGGCTGGCTGGTTATTCAGTAAGCTCTTTCTTTGTTTAAGAACCAAATGTAATTATTTGACTTGTTGCTTAAAGGTACACTTGTTTCCTAAAAGAGGTTTTAGATGTACCAGTTGACCATTCTGAAATGCATTATCTGCTCTGTTCATAGAGAATTTGCTTTGGTAGTGTATATAATTCTCAAATTCTTTGTTGAGAATAGTACGGAGGGAAGCAAAACCAGACATGCTTGTATATTTTTATACTGATGAAATAAAGTCTTTTTTGATATATTGTGTATTCCCCCTTATTGTGGATGTCTGACTGACTGTCAATACCTGCTCTCTTGTTTTCAGTCACAGTTGTTATCTCTTTGGGCTGTCCCATAGTTTAGTTATGTCCTTGGGTACATTTCTTAACTACTTTCATTACATCATTTGAAAGTCTACCACAATCAAACTTTCCTGGAAGAGTCCTCAAAGTTACATTGTATGATGAAGGAGTTGCATTGATGCTTAAGTTCAACCACTTTTAACACTTGTCGGTAGGTAGGGTCGCTGTAAAGCATTTCTGCTTCAAACCAAACTCCTTACTATGGGAACAATCCATCCGGGGCTTGGAACTGGTCACCACCCTGCTGGTGAGCTGTGTTTTTCAAATGGAAAGAGCTCTCCTCACTTTCCTGTCTGCTCTGTTTGACTGTTTTTAGAAGTAGTACAATGTTAACGCTTTGTGCACTGTACCTTGCATATGTGCCAGCGAGGTACCAGCATCCAAGACATTCACAAAGTTTCTCCAGAGAATTTGCCAATGGCTGCAGGTGTTGGAGATTTGAACTTGCAGAATGATACCGGTGTGTGAAAGCTTCTGTGGGGTGTCTTTATGCTCAGTGTAAATCCTTCTTTCTTTCCTTTGCCTTTGTGGAACAGCCACAGAAAACAAGTGAGGGATGCGAAGACAGTGGTAGAAAGGACATGGATGTCCCCAACTTTCTTTCAAGTTTGCAGGCTTATGTATTTGTCCATGAGGTTTCTCATTTTTTCACAGGCGAATGTGGCATTTTTAGTTGTTGGGCACTTGGAACAGGAACTTTCCTGTATGTATAAAATACAGGATTCTCAAGGACTAGTTTTGTTGAAGCAGAGAGTTGTATGGGGATATCCTTTATCTGCTCCTTCTTGTTATAGCCTTGATGCTTCTGATATGACTTTTTTACTACTGGGTAGTCCCTATCTGACCAAACCAGATAAATTGGCACCTATCTCTGTCAAATGGGGAAATGGCCAAACTACTGCTTCTTGAGCAGTAGTTGTCATTCAATGCTTTTTCCACTGTTGTCCTCCTAGATACACAAGGAGAATGTGCACAAGCACGTAGTGGAGCAAAATAAGAATTACTGCATTGTGTGAGAGTTTATTAACTTTCTGCCTGCATCTTCTTGTTTCCCTTCTCCCCCTGTGACCATCCACAACACAGAAATTGCGTGCTGTACATCAAAAACTCAACTGCTTCAACCCAGAAACTACTACCCAGTACTTTCATTGCATCCCGCTTCTCAATGTGTAAAAATTTGAATTCACAAGGGTGGAATAACATTATTTTCTGTTGTGCACTTTCTTTGGTGTTCCCATTTAATCAAATATAATCAGGGCAGCTATCGGTGCAAAACTTACAACGATGTTTTAAAAACAAATTCAGGATGCTGAAAATCCCACTGGTCCCAGGAAAGAAGTCATGGTTCCAAGACTCTGTTATTCTGTCTGAAAACACTGCTATGATAGTTATCTTTGAAATTGTATTACATCAACTAACCTAACAATGTTATGCTATTTGAGCTAGAGTAGACTGAAATAAGGGAATTTCTAAACTTAACTTTTCTATGAGGAGAACACTCATGCTTTTTCCATGGTCCTAATCTTGCAGCCTGCTCTGGTTACAAAGAGTATGTTGTGACTTTTCGTTTTTCATTCCCTCCAGGTTTACGGGAACAGACGGACCAAGTGGTTTTGGATTTGAGTTGACGTTTCGGCTAAAGAGAGAAACAGGGGAGTCGGCACCACCTACCTGGCCAGCAGAATTAATGCAAGGCTTAGCGCGATACGTCTTCCAGTCAGGTACTGCAGGGTTAAATATGCTGCCTCGCTTTTTGCTGCTTTCATTCTGAAGGGCTGCATCTGTTACATCAGCGCTCAATCAAATCTTGAGAATTTTCTTTGTGTGGCAAACCAAAAGAGTGTGTTCCTTCCATCAGCCCAGCTTGCTGGGGACAAAACCCAAGTGCCGTCCATGTAACTCCAAATCCCTAGTATGGAAAAGCTCACAATACAGAACGGTTAGTAACCATAGGAAGCCTGCTCAGTGTCTATTTGTTGCTCTTCTGCGTTGTTGCTTTCACCCTCTGTCAGTAGGAAAACCTGATTTGCTTATCCTGAAATGGTTGAGAAGCCCCCATCTGATAAGGCCTCACTTCTCAGCAGAATGGCTGTAACTTCCAAAACAGCTGCAGTTCCTTCACAAGCAAGTCTCTTCCTATGGTCTGTGCAGTTGAGCAGCAGCAACGTATGTAAACAAGGAGTTGCTGAGATGAGAACACATAAAAGTCATAAGGGATGCCAAGGCTGGGAGGGCTAAGGAATTAACAATTGGGAGTCATTAATGTGGATAGAGACTTGCCAGAAAATTGGGAGCCAGAGTGCCTACAAAACATCCTCTTGCACTACTCTTCCTGGATTCTGTTTATACCGGTAGATTGAATATTAGTTTATATTGTGAGCACATGAAGACCCATGGCATGGTTGAGTGCGTTGTGTATTTGAAAGGCACCCTCCAGCATTACAAGATGTGAATGAAAAATATTTGAAGAACTTTTTTTTAACCTAGTTTGAGGTCCTTTACAGGTAAAGTACCTTCTAAATCAATGATTATTGAGTTTGTAACATTTGGTACTTGCTCTACTAGTTAATAAATTGCTCAGTAACTTCTGAGTCTATTGCTGGTTTTCCGTCAGCTGGCTGACCCTCAAAGGGGAAAGGTCTGGCTGAAAACAGGGTTGCTCTGGTAACCTCAGTGACAAATCTTTGAGGCAGTGGCAACTCTTGTGGGGTATTTCTTCTAAATGTTGACTGGCAGAGACCAATGCCAGCACAGGTGATCGTTTGTCTTCATATTGGGAGTGTCTCTTGTTACAGTTTGAAATGACGCAAGCATTTTTTGGTAACCTTTGCTGTGCAGCTATCTTCCCCAGTTGCCATCTAAATTTGGGCTCACCTGTTCTTTTCTGTCTTGATTTTTGCTGCTCCTAAGCATCTAAATCTACAACTGTTGTCGGTTTTGCCATTATTTGAGGTTCCTGTCCTGCCTAAATTCTATTGTACAGTAGATTTTTGATACTGACCATGCAGTGATGAATTCATACTCACATTTTTTATGTATTGACTGCAGGGTCTGAAGAAAACATCTGACCCTGAAGTCTCCTTCCTGGATATAAAATAACATACAACATGTTAACTTACCTTACATAAAAGATCCCTTTTGGAGCCTTTTCAATTTTCTAGTCCAGTGTAGGTTCTCATAACAGTCTCTTTAATGCAGTAATTTCAGTGCCTTCTATTTGCACGTTAAGCAACCTCTCTATAGCAGTTGCTTGTTTGTCTAACCCTTTCCATGGATGAGAGGAGGTCTGCAGAGTGAAGTGGGATTTAGTAGGGTACTTTAGGACTAAGCTGGCACTCCAGGCAGAGACTTTCCTTGTGTGGCTTCCTGCACTAATGCAGTCTCATCTTTTTGACCTAAAAGCAAATTAATTGTTTTTAGAAAGGAAAGAGCAGTCCATGCCTATCAGTCTGACGTGAACTTCTAAGGGCCTTCAGTATTATCCTTAGCTTATCCATGCTGGTTTTGACTTTCTATCCACCACGGCTCTTTAAAGGCACTGCTGAAATATACGTTAATGGATTCTAGCCTCTGGGTGTTTAGCTCTCAGTTTACATTATTAAAAATCCCCATGTATGAATCATAAATTGACTTCTTTGAATGTGAAATTGAGTATGAGCCAACACTATGCCCATCGTGCAATAGGCAAGCCACATGCTGGGTTACCTTAGGAAGAACATAAGCAGCAGACTGAGGAAAGTTATTACCTCTTCTGCATGGCATGGGGGAGGCCTCAGTTAAAATAGTGTCCTGTTTTGGGCATCCTGGTTTAAGAGATGCTGAGAAAACAGGGTCCAGAGTGGTCGGGGTCCTAGAGCACACAAGCTATGAGGAGAGCTGGAGGGAGCAGGGCTGGTTTAGCCTGTGAAGAGGAGGTGCAGGGTGATCTAAGGGGAGCCTACAGCTGTTGGGAGGGCAGTTACAAGATTGTGGGGTCAAGTCCTAGATAATACAACAAGGGGCTACAGCTCTGAATTGTAGTATCAGAGGTTCTGGAAGGGCTTCAGAGAAAACTTGCTCACAAGGAGGGTGGCAAAACACAGGGAATAGTTTATCAGAGAGCAGGTGGATCGCCGCTCCTGAAAAGGTTCAGGACTTAGCTCAACAAAGCTATAACAGCCCTGATCTATCATTGGTGATGGCTCCACCTCAAATAAGAGGCTGGGTGAGAGACCTTCAGAGGCCCCTTAAAATATCACAGAAGAGTTGGATTTTTGGTTTTTTTCCATACAGCTTCATGCCCTTCAGCAAGCCGTTGTGTGCTGTCACCGAGTGTTACCAACTGTTCCTTGCCCTGTATAAAAGGAAATGGCATGCTGTTGCAGCAAGTGATCAGGCTCTAGTTTTATTTCAGTACAAACTTGTTTATCACTTGTCTCTTTTGAATAAGAACTTTTTCAGGCTAAAATCTTCTGGCTAATCATTCATGTCTGCTTAATCCTGACAAGATAATGCATTGAAAAGTAAGACTTCTAATGGGACAGACTATCATATTTCTTCTTGATCTCTCAGGGCAATACCAGTTGACTATAGCTAGATGCAGTCATTTTCGAATTCAGCATAAGGTCGCTCACTCCGTTGCTCTGCAGAGTCCCCAGTCCTGCTGCATCTGCTGTGTCCTGCTTTACTCCCGCAAGCTGCCCCCTCTCTGGCTGGCAGTCTCCAGAGCAATTCCCATGTTCTCCCTTGCATCACCCCTGGGTGATCAAGCACCCAGTGCTCAGCAGTGTTATCTTTATTCTGCCTAGTGGGATTTCCCCCAGTCCAACATGGCGACTCTGCAAAGCCAAGTGAGCTTCTGCCGTCATCTTTTTTCCTTGGTCTTTTACAGGACTTCTATGGTCAGACGTTAAAACTTTGAAACTGAAGTATTTAAAAGGGCGGTTCTTCTGAAGCCCACTGGGCATTAGACAGGCTGTGGCGTGACAGCATTGCTTTACGCGATGAAAGGTTTATTTTTGCTCAAGTTCTGTTGACTGTACCATGTGGAGCATTTGTCAAATGCAACAATGATAAGTGGTGTTTGACTCTAGTGTACATACCTTAATGTCGTCCTCTTCAGTTGTTTAAAGATCTGTGGAGTTTCTTTAATACTTCAAAATAGCGTTAAAAACATTTGATGAACTGCAACAACTTGAGCAATGCTTATGAATCCACTCCGAAGAAGAAGGAAGAAAAAAATAAAACTGGCAGGAACTTTTTGGATAGGCTCCAAGCACTTTGGCATGTCAAAGGATTGTTTACTTTGAAAGCTATGCTAAGAGCTAAATTCTTATCTCATGAATAACAAGCCAACTTTTTGGTTATCATAGATGTGCTTTGCTGGGTCCGGTTGAAGTTGGGGGAGAGTAAGGTATAGTTATACTCCTGCTGAGCCTGAGCATTTTCAGATGGTGATGACTGAGTTGGAGACTCATCTAGCAGCTACTGCTGTCCTAAATATTATTTCTGTGTATTGCAGTTGCAAAGCGTGTCTCATTGCAGTTGCAAAGCGTGTCTCATTGCAGTTGATGTATTTTTGCAACAAACACTTCTAGGCAAATGAATGTTATGTTCCTTTGTTTCCATCTCTCCTGTACTGTGGTTGTGCTTTAGAAAAGCAGTCTTCTGCACTGAATTTCAGACCTCTCTGAGCCTTGGCTTCCCTGTTCACTGTAACAAACACTTGATGCTTTGTGCTTTTGATTAAATGGCACTGTTTCCCCTCCTTCAACAAAACCAAGCTTGCAAGTCAAAAAAATTGTATTTGTGGCTTTATCTGTTCTTAATTTTATCACTGTTTGACCATGACCACAAATTCCAACTCTGTTATTTTTAGTTTAAAAAAAAAAAAAAATCCAAACTTGCAAACCTTGAAAATGAAACTTTGCACAATTCAGTGACCTGAGCTTGCCATGGTTCGTGGATGTACTGGGAATATCTCATGGTAGAACAAATTTATATTTCAATTCAAATGAAGAGGGAGAAATGCTCTTCCTATGGAAAGCTTATCCAGGGCTTGTTACAATTGCTAACTCTTTAGGTACTGCAGAATTACGGTGCTTGATCAGTACAGAGAGGCTATGGTTTGTGTTTTCCTGAAATTAAAATCTGCATATTTTTTTTCTCTCTCGAAGGTAAACTTAGGTTGCTTTCGAGGGCCTGCCTGATATACATCAGGAGGGCAATATATTGATGTAGCATTGAAACAAATGTGATGTGTGTATGAGTTCTTGCTGCTTCCATGTTTCTTGGCCTGAAAGGAAACAGCTGCAGCTGTAAGGTACAGATTTGGAGAAATGGTCAGGAAAAACTCGTCATGCATAGAGCCTAAACATAACAGTATAGCATATGTCGTGGTTATATTCTCCGCAACGCGTGAATTGTAGTGGGCAGCTAGCTAGTGAAACTAGCTTCAGAAGTATTAAGATAACGTCCATGAATTAGAGGTTTGCAGGTTGGCTGAGCTTGATAATGTTTACCGCAGAACACGTTGGCCTGAGCAGTCTGAGCCCCCGCTGTTGCAGGGGGGAGAGGTGGCATTACAGGAGGCTGGAAAATGGCAAATGCTGTTCTTCACCCCCACCCTCCCCAAAAAACCCCAACAAAACCAAAACAAACCCCAAAAATGCAAAAACCTGAGGTTTCTAATTGGTCAGTCAGACTTCAGGTCTTAAGAAACTGCTAGGAAAATAAACTATCT